AATGATCTACGTAACTTTGGGGCACCGGTACCTCATCGTCGTTCATTGACCATGGCTAGACGAAATGTGAGTGACTATGAAAAAGCAATTAGCAGGATTAAGAAGGAGAACAACAGAATGTTGATGCGGAGATGTCGACATTTCATGCTTCAGTTAGCCATCGAAATGGCAGAAGCAAGCAACAGAGATTTGACAGTGATTGAGCGAAATAATGTCTTAAACAATGAAAAATATCTCTCTGACTACTACATGTCAGATGAGGAATAAGAAATCAAACACCGTTATCTTTCATATATGTTTGTATGTACGTTGTGTCGTATGTTCGTTACTGGAGTGTAAGACAATGTTGTTGTTCATCTTACGTACGGATCTATTTCAAGTATTTGTTTTATGAACCTAAAGTTTATGACATAACTACATTTATAGTAATTTGCGGTTATTAGTTCATGACTTTCTTTATTGAATTGCAATGAGTTAATGAATGTTCTGGATTAATGAATGGATTAATGTGCGGATCAATTATGTGAATAATTAAAACACATAAAACAGAACAGGTAGCTCGGTGAAAAGCTTCCCTTAACGGCGCCTCGTTAAATAGGGATCCTCTACGTAAAGAATTTCAATCTCCATCAGGAAAGAAGAAAGAGTCACCTTCCAATTCTTGTAAGTCCAGTACAAATGATGACTCTGGTAAGGAATGGGGGGTTGACAGAAAATTAAACTCGGTGAAACGAACTACCGCCTTTAATAACACATAAAACAGAGGAGGTAGGTCGGTGAAAAGCTTCCCGTAACTGGTCCTCATCAAAGGCATTTTACTCTACGTAAATAATTTCAATATCTATCAGGAAAGAAGAAAGAGTCGCATTCTAATTCCTGGAAGTCCAATAAAAATGATGACTCTGGTAAGGAATGGGGGGTTGACATAAAACTAAACTTCGGGGGCTGGACAAACAGGCTTAAAACCAAGTGCTTGGTGCAGTTGGGGGACTAATAAAGTTTAGACAAACGAACTACCGCCTTCAATAACGCATAAAACAGAACAGGTAGCTCGGTGAAAAGCTTGTCTTAACTGCGCCTCGTTAAATAGGGATCCTCTACGTAAAGAATTCTAATCTCCATCAGGGAAGAAGAAAGAGTCACCTTCTAATTCTTGTAAGTCCAGTACAAATGATGACTCTGGTAAGGAATGGGGGGTTGACAGAAAACTAAATTTCGGGGACTGGACAAACAAGCTCAAACCCAAGTGGTTGGTCCAGTTGGGGGACTAAGTTTAAAACCCAATTGGTTTTATTTCATTTGGTTGGGATGAATCACTATTTAGAATTAATTATAGCCAAACATATTGTTTTCTGCACATTTTTGAAGAAATTGACGATTCTCTTAGTATAGAAACTAGAATTGTTATCAGTTCTAATGACGCTGATTTGTTAATTTTCGGATTTATACCCAAAGAGAACAACACTTCCGACATTACTGTGTCACACCAGTTTTCCAGACAGATTTGAATGCACCACTTTTCTGGACAGATTTGAATGCACCATGATATTCATAAACATTGCTGGCCAAGTACTCCTACGTAACCCACGTTTCACTCACAAGATTCACCATTCTTTTAAAGTTGATTTCAAAAGTTGAGATTGTAAATGTTTCCCAAAATATTACAAATCGAATATTCAAAAGTTGATTTTAAAATAATTCCAAATGACAACAGAAATTCAAATAGTCATACTTTTCCCGTTGATAGAAATAGTAGGTCGTAACAACGAATGATGCATAGCTAAGTGAAACACAACATTGCCTACATAAGGAGGAACGAGCTCCCGTTCCGTCCTTTTTGGGGTCACTACAGTTCGGACTCTCGAGTTGTCACGGTTCTTAATCTTGAACCAAAGAGTCCAAATCTGGCAAATTGTTTTGAGAAAACAGATGTTTTGAAAAGAGAAATGCCAAACATGGACTGCTTTGCCAGATACAGAATCGCCACCTAAATATTTTATTTTGGGGGAATTTAGGAAACCCTGACTCGGTGCCGAAGGCCACATGTCCGTCATCACTGGAGTTGTCTCTGCTCGGGAGCTAGGGTACGATTGGGGAAGGTCAGCTATGAGCACCCCCTCTCGATCGGTTCGAAGACCGGCCTCTACTAATCATGATATCCGTTTTTGAAAACTTTATGTGTTCTTATTCCAATTATTATCCTATAATTACTATGTTATGCGCACGGCAAACAAGTATAGACTAGATTGCCTAATTTGGAAATAAACATTGCATATTCGTTTATTTTGGAAAGCGTTTTGGAATTTGCTACTCGCAAGTAGGCTAAAACACGGATTTTAATGAGTTTTTCCAATTCAAACAATCCACCCTTCACCCACAGGCATTCAAACAGTTTTATCTCATATAAGCACTTAGCCACATGGCAAGCATACTGTCATGGCAACACTCACACGCATGCGGGATGCTAAAGCATAACTACTTACATTGTACTCCGTGCCAAAACAGTAAACTAGTTAGCAAATATGCATGTCCTAGCTCATGTTAAAATGACTAATGCATCGCATGCAAAAA